ATAAAAAACAGTCTAACATCATGTGAGCTTACATCCGATTTATGAAATACGTACAATATTGAAATTTCAGATGTTATCAACGTGAAATATATGTATATGAAATACAAATGCTCACACGCACTACCACACGCACACACACACACCCAGCCCCCAGCCCCCCCCCCCCTTTCTCTCTCTCACACACACACCTACGTAAGTATTTCTGAAACGCCCAGAGGCAACCGCGAAATTGTCAAAACACTGTAACAGCCAAAAAAAATACGAAGATTTTTAACAACTGTTCACTGAGAACCGTAGAGAAACTATCTTGAAGTGACACACTTTTTTTCAACTGAAGTATTTTAGTTGTTACCAGCACCAAAAGTATAAAGCTTCTGATATAAAACTAATAGGCGGTTGTGCATATGTAGTGTTATCTAAACTCTGACTATCACCAGGCAGACAGGATGTTGTTATTTCAGGATACTTTATCAAGTGAGGCTGCATCCTGTGAACGAACTGGACGAATTAAAGAAAAAACTCTTTTTTTTTCTTTTCTTTTAAGGACGATAGCTACATTCTTTCTTTCTGCCTTTTTGATTCATTATTATTATTTTTTTTAAATATCTTTAGGTCTAGGAAATTAATTTTAGGGGGAAACAGATTAACGTTATCTAAATCGCACAAACAATGTAATCACGCACAGTATGTTAAGTGGTAAACAGCAGCGTTAAAATAATCTTGTTTGCATATTTGTTGTGTACATATTGCATCACTGCAAGCCCTAGGTTCAATTATTTTTTTCAGTAAAATTGATTTTCTGCAACTCATTGTAACACCAACGTAACAGTATATTTTGCATAATAAAGTAAACTCTTCTATTTTGATGAATTTGAGTGTTCCCGAGTATTGATATAATTTTGACGTACCATTTATGAATCACTTTTTTTTTAAACCAAATATTGCTCAATGTATGTACACAAATTATTTTCGTAATGTAGTGGGATTTTCATTCGATATCACAGTATCAGCTTAAAACAGAAATTT